GATTTTGTACTTTTATTAATTGTCACTTGTAATTACGTAATCACTAGCACCTTAATCTTATTTAAAGCTCCTTTTTATTCAAAAGTTGTAATAACTGAAGAAGGTCTCTGACCGAAACGTTTTTTGTTAAATTTTTTAATCTTTTTTTCGTCAGAAGTTGTCCGTCCTCACAATTTTTTAACTTTCTATATATATATATATATATATATATATATATATATATATATATATTACAGTAATTTTTACCTTCAGGGATAATTTTAGGTAGTGTGGTGTCATTTTGTAGAAAACAGCAAGAGTGGGGATTTAAGACGGTGTCTTTATGAAAGAAATTTGACTTGCACAGGGAGTGGGAGGGGTTGGGTGGATTCCAAGGGGAGCTGAGGGTCCCTATCCATACCAGAAGACCATGTAAATTTCGGTCTGCAGAGGCTTAAGACGATATTCTACTGTAGCATAAATTTATATAGAGGGAGCTGGTAACGCTAATATATAATAACTTAATATAAAAGAATGAATGCTCACGTCTTCAAAGGAGTGAAAGCAAGTATCCTCTGCCTTAAATCATTGTAAGTTTACTTTTAATTGTAATTTTAGCTTTTAAGCCCTCTTATTCCGTTTTTAATCTTGTCATGCGCATTTGAACATTTTATAAAATTTGCGCATTATAAACGTTATTATTATCATTATTATTATTTTATTAATAACGATTTCTTAAAGCATAAACAAGCGAATATTATCCACTTCACTGTCTTCAATGCTATCATTTCGGAGTTTGAAACATGTTTGGCTCAAAATAATATGGCTCAAGAGCAGCCATAACCCAGAGTGGTGGTTAAAAGGTCCGTCGGAAGCAATTTGGGCAAAATCTCTTTGGGCGGAATGACGTCACGAAAACGCACTGGATATGAGATGATTGATGGCTAACGAAGCGCGTAGCGCCGAGTTGGGTATAATCATCTCATATCCAACAAGCGCGAGTGGAATAATTGTTTTATTAAAAACCACCCGAAAATATTGGAAACTGAAATAGAATATAAATGAAAACGCCCCAAATATTTTACGCGTACGCTTAACTTATTTATAGATCATGGTATAATGGTACATACAAAGATGGCTAAGCCGATGAAAACTCTTGAATTGCATTATCCATTTTTTTTACCACAACGGATATACCGTCAAAAGTGACAATGAGCTGTCCCAAGTACCAAGTTTGAGAAATATGGTGATTTGAAGTGTACCGTCTCCTGCCTAGTTCTCTCATAGACACACTCGTAATAGATGGGTGCCGAATGGGTCTCGCAGAATTTTCGCCGAATTTCATGGGTCTCGCAGTTTTAATTGTTTTTTCACGAAGCTGCCTTGCATTCTTGATTTTTTTCAAGGCTAAGAGAGCCGCGAAGTACCGATTTGTTTATTTCTTTTTTTTTTCTTTTTTGATAAAAGCTTAAATAACATCTGAATATCTTAGAACCTGAACGTCTCAAAGGTAAAGTCTGCATACGAGCCAAGTGGCCCACCAGGCCGGAACTTATCCCGGTTTCTGTAGTATGAAGCGATTAGGAGTATTTCTACTCCCCCCTGGATGGGATGCTAGTCCATCGCAGTGTTACTCCCAGCATTAAGTTCGCCGGTACTCATTTTTATACACCTGGGTGGAGAGAGGCACTGTGAAAGTAAGAACAAGAACACAACACAATGTCCCCGGCCAGGGCTCGAATCCGGACCGCTCGATCCGGAGACGAACGCAATAACCATGAGGCCACCACGCCTCCCACGAGCTTGCATTTAAAACACTTTGAAGTCTCGTTCGCACAATTGAATAAGTCAAAATGTCTCGGGCTCGCAAAGAAAAACGCAAGTCTCTCTTTTTTTTTTCGCAAAGTCTCGCATTTACCATTCACCACCCCTTAATAGCAAAACTCTATGACAGATGTTTCTTTTATTCTACGGCCGCCATATTTGTGCACCTCAGAGGGGAACAGGCCTGGCGTCTCTATACAAGGCTCTATAACTTTGGGTAGAACATTTGTCAGTTATAAAAAGCTGCACACACTAAACTATTGTCGAGGTTGTTTATATGTTATTCGTCTGCCATATCCCAGATTCTTGACTTAATGTATTGTAGGGTTGCGGTTTTATTTATGTATTTTTTTCCAACGGCTTCATGACAATAAAAAACACAAATAATGATTTAAAAAATAAATGAACATAAACAGGAAATATAAGTTGCATGCGGGTCTCACTGAATCAAGATATATCCCATGGCCTTGATGTGCTTGTCTCCGTTATCTGAGTTGAATTTCGCGTCAATGCCACACGTGTTGGTGTCATCAGGATGACCTCCGGAGCCAAACCCGATTCTTGAGTCACAGTAGGCGCACTGGTCTTCGTTGTTACCAAGGATCCCGATTCTCACCCTAATAGTACGCGCGTTTAAATTATCAACATTGTTAAAACCTTCTTTGTTGCAGTTCCGTTGCAAGGAGCCTTGGGAACCAAGCAGCGATTTCCAGGTGTCACGGCCCACTGATGTGGAACGGAATTTCCCGTCAGCGATCAGTGAGTACAGCGAGTCTGCCGTTTGGTCTATGACGATAAAATTCGTTGTTTCCTCTCCAGGGATCTTCATGCCAAGACAGATCTTGGAGAACGGTGTGGTCCAGTAGGTCGGTACCTTGGTCTCTTCTGTGTCAAATCCAGTCTCGCCTCCTTCCAGGTTAAAAGTTTCTATGTTGCTCCAAAGATCGGAATCATAGTGGAAGGTTCGCTGAAAGAAACACAAACTCGTTAGCTTTGTCCAGCTATCTCTAGTTGTTTGCTGCATAGCCTTTTCAAAATGAATTGAAATCAACACTGAAAGCTCATTTTGGAATCATCAGTTAAGGTGGTTCCCTAGAGTATTTACGAACACCCTCCCTATAGCTGGCTTTCACATGAAGTCACTGAAATTCAAACTACAAAACTATTGATCTTCCTGAGATTTTACTTTAATGATGTATAAGAGCAGCTGGAAACTAATGTTCATACAAATTTTCGCTCCGAATGGATCCGTGGTTGTGTGATACAATACACTTGAATTTCTGAGCTTTTGCGTAATGCGGCATTTACATGACGGTCTAGAGAGCTGTCACGATGGTTAAAAAAGTGACTTATTTCGGGGAATTTGGCTCTCTGAACAGTTCATGTTTTACAAAAAGTATTATTTTAATGTTTAAGAGTTCCTCGAGGGATAAATGCACGCTTTTGTAGCAAAACTCAGTGACAGATGTTTCTGTTGGTTTTCGACCGCCATGAGGAGATATATTCCTCATTTTGGCCTAAACTCCTTAATATTCATACTTTCGTTCGGTGACATTTTTTAATACTTTGCCACATTATGGAAATGATATTGCCTGACATTTTGAATTCGTAAAAAGTCAAGGTTGTTCAGACGGTTTTGCTAATATTCTGTTATTTGTCATTCTTCTAAATATATTTGGCCCTGACAGATTTTGACAAAAATAGGGTATTTTATAGGAATTGTATGTGGTTAAAACTGGGCCAAATTAAAAAAAAAAAGAATTCACCGAAGGAAACGCGAGAAAATTCACTGTCATTTTTGTTCTTTGTCTTCATGTTGATGTCATAAAAATAAAAAAACACGCGCGCAGATTACTTGAACTTTCGTCCTATGCGCGCGTACAATCGCAAAACTATAGGGAGCCGCCTAAAATTAATACAATCGAATCTCTTTAATACGCAGAACTAAGGGATAGAGCGTGGCTTCTTATTATGTCGGTGATTTTTATAGAGATCAAAAGGTTGTACGAATTCTGAGTTCTTTAGGACCAACTGAACTGTCTGTAATACAGAAGCGTCAGTCTGTAAGGAGAGGTGCGATTGCAGTGTACGTGTGCGAAATAATTTATATATCGGTACACTACGTATTGAAAATATAAAAAAGAATCCTCGCATGAACTCCTCCGTAGAATTTATGGCTTCAGAAAAGTTTATGTATAGGTTATTAGAGTATATAGTTTGACATTTATATCACATAAGTGGAAGCAACTGTAGATTTTTTGACGACCAGAAAAAAAAATGTATTGTTCCATGTTTCACCTTTCTTCCGTCAATCTTCATGACTAGTGTCCATCCGCTTCCACGACAAGGTCCCAGCATGGTATCATTCATGGCGCAATAGACTTGGATTTCATTGGATCCCACTTTCAGCTGGTAGGCTTTGTTTTCCTTGGTCCTGATGTTTAGAAACGATTAATTTAGTCGAATTGTATTCTTTGTTTTCACTTAAGGATGTTATTGCTCGAGATGTACGACCAGCTAACTTCTGCACGGGAACTCTTGACCAACTAAGACTTAAGGAATGTCTACTACGTTTTCTGCAAGGACTTGTATTATCTAACGGTCAGGAAACGGAACCCTTTGTTGCTGTTGTCGTTTTTGCTTTCGTCGCTAGGCCTCTTTGTAAGTACCTGTTGTAAATTTTCTCGTTTCATTCCGTTTACATTTTTTGCTGAATATGACGAAGCGAAAAAACGCTTATATACTTTTAGGCAGTTTCACTCGTTGCACTTTAATGTTACTAAAGGTAATAGAGCGGTTTTCACTTGAGTCTCGAAAGTAATTGGTTTTGTATTACCACGCCAGACGGTTGACTTAAAAACCCGCGCCACTTTTTCAGCTAAACAGAAGTAGAACCTTCATAACCAATAATCACTCGCTCGCGCACGTTTTCCCGCTTTGCGCGTCAGCGATGCTGACGGTGTAATTACACTGAGTTTTGAGTATTTCATTAGATTGTCTGTGCCTTTTATAACTGGCAATGGTGATTACTCCCGTTTTGGTTTTACGACACTCGATTTGAAGTCGCTCTATTGCAATTGCTAAATGTCACTTACAAAAACCCGTCATAAAGTTCTTTGCAAGTCGAATCTGCAAAGAAAAGAAAAAAGAAAAAGAAAAAAAAACATGCAAACAGACAAACAAAAACAAAAAGAAATCAAGAAGTGTTGTTTTAAAAAAAAGGCTGAGGCTCCTTACTGCTATCCTTAAGTCCACATGAAAAATAAAACAAAAACATAAGCAAATACAACCCGGCCGGTACTCCACTCCGTCCTCTGCTGCATTAGGAGACCCAAGGCCGCTCTTTTCTCCAATGTAGGCTAACCCAGCAATTTTTTTTTTTTTTTTTTTTGCTGAAATTCCCCAGCAAATTAATTGCTAGTACCCACTTATACTCATGAATAGAAGGGAGCACTATAAAGTGTTTCGCACAAACCCGAAAAACACAAAATAATTCTCGATCAGAAGTCCATAGCAACGTCATCGCGTATCTTAATCTCCAAATGGAATGAGCTATAATCTTAAAATAAACAACACCAAAAGACCCCAACAAAAATGGTTTGAATCCTACTCACAAGAACAAATAAACGATCCCTTGGTATTGTTGCACAGAGCATCAGCGGTGCAGTTGTGTGTTCCTCCTTTACACTCGTCGACATCTGAGAAATGGTCGTTTAAACAAAACCAATAATTTTCTTAAAAATATACATGTATCATCTTTCTTGACTTCAAAATTCTGTCGTAGCTGTTACTGCGAATAAAAACCATTTAGTTCCAATATTTGTAATATTAAGAATTACATAACCTACCCAGATTGCTTCTCGTTCCCGATAGGATGTCTTTCAAAATTTCTGATAATTTAGCTCTATAAACGACGAAGTTTAATACTGATTAGAGAACTTATCTCGCTGGATTAAGTTTTGAGCAATTTTGAGCAATTTGATATGTGTTCAGCCCCCCACAAATGAGTGGCACAATCTGTAACGAACCAAGTGGATTCAGTGCAACAGCGTTTTTTCTTCATACTGTACTACCCTGGTTCTCTTGAATTAGGAGAACGATAAAAAGTCTGACCTTCACAATTCTTCCCATCTCCATGATATCCAGGCTTACAAGAGCATGTATAAGACCCATTGGTGTTACTACACTCAGCATCTGCGTCACAACTGAATGTTTCTGCAGCACACTCATCAATGTCTGAAACATACTACATTTAATTAGCTCCATTGACTAAGCTTGTAATATCGTTCACAGAGTTGTCACAAAACAAAAAGATCGAACTGTTCTTAGTCGTCTTGGGAGAGCCCCAAAGTTGAGTTTAAGGGATACTGTCTGTGTTTAATAAAAGGCCGCTATGGCTGTTTGCCATTGACCCAAACATTTCGGAAATTTTGGTCAGAATGTAAATGGTGAGACAATTTTGGCTTGGTAGTCCAGAATTTCCAACCGAAACATCCAAGTGGAGAATTTAACCATTGTGAAATGAATGGAGTTTGAGATGTGTGAACAAGTTATTCAATTGCTGTTTTCTAGCTCGCGAAACATCAAAGCTCTAATTAACGGAGTTCAAACTCACTACCTCTGTGATACCGGGTTGGTACTATATTGCAAATGTGGTAAATCATGCAATGAATGAAATGCATATGTAAACTACTATTAAAACTTCAAACAAACATGACGGTCATCGCGATGTATTAACAACTACATCTCTAAGGCCGTTGCAGCCATTAGGCAGTTGGTTAGAGAGAAAATAAAATGTAGTGTCGTTTTCTCACCAGTCTTACAGTCCTGACCCGTAAATCCTGAGGGACAAATGCAACGATATCCTCTGTGTGTAAAACCGGTTTGACAAATCATTTCACCAGAGCAAGGGCCACTGGCACAAGGATTCTTAAACGGAAAGAAAAAAGGAATCAATTGCAAAATAAACGAAACGTGAGCGGTGTGAATGTTTGTCGTATAACAACAACAACAACAACAACAACAACAACAACAACAACAACAAAGAGGCATTGAACTGAAAAAGAAAAATTACTTTTGCTCCCCGATATACATAGTCCGGATTTTCCTGCAGATCTTTCTGGTGTCCTTCGTACGTAGCATTATTTAATTCGCATTTTCCAATTTCACTTGTTGTTATATAATTATAACTGACACAATTATGTTCCATGAAGCACAGCGCACCACAAAATTCCTGATCCATGGTTTCAGCGATGCGAATCACGTGGTTTATCAGACGTTTACCCTCTAATACTTGGGCCGCTCTAAATTCCAAAAGACGACACTCTTCTGAAAAAGTAAATTTGCAAAGGATTTTAGGTGGCTCAAAACACTTTCCAGCACTTTCCAATACATACATTTTGATGGCTCAGTAAATCTAATCTTTATCGGTTGATGCCATAGTCGTGGTATCAAAAGCCTGCTTAATAATTGGTAAAGGTAAAAGTAAAGGTAAACTTTATTTAGCCAGGGTGGCCCATTCAGTGACGAGGTAAAATTAAAAAAAAATACAAGATATAAATTTAAAAATACAAGTGATAAATAAAAGTATAGAGTATAAACAAGCACGCAATAATTGGTGAACATGTTGGTGTCAGTTTTGTGGCACAGTAAACTACCATAGCAACAGTATGATGTGGTAAAACCATCCTTAATTTTAGCTTCAAGCCCTTATAACTGGAAAAGGAGTTAGGTGACCCCATTTTTATGATCAAATTGTGACAAGCATGGTGAGATGCAACTTTTTACAAAGTTTAAAAAAGTTCTGTGTGGTGGGTTCAGAGCCACTTTATATTTTCGAAAATTTAAGGTGGCCCTGATCCCACTCCTATCATCGGTTTCTTGTCCCTGGAGAACTATCGGAAATAATTTTGTTTCAAAATGCAAAATGTCAGTGGGGAAAAATAAATCTTGCACTTAGGAATTATGCATGTAAAAGTAATTCTCCAAAATAAAACAAGTTTTACACCTAAGCAACATTTCCAGGATGTAGTATAAATGCAATATAAATGCAATATGCTTTTAATTTCACGCGCGCTAATTTAGTTAGATAGAAAATCTCTCCCCCAGTTCATTCGGCCTCATTGCACAGAAAGTCGGCTAGGTAAAGTAATTGTTCTCCTTAAGAAATGTTACAGACTCCTTGCCGATCTCCTTGGGACAAGGAGAGCCATGCTTTTCTCTCGCAGTGCAACGCATATATTTCGGTACATAAAGTCGCTCAACATGTTTCTTGGAGTAAGAGGTGCAGATAGCTAAGTATGTAATTACAACAATAACATCATTGATGTGAGCTCTTTTTTTATAAAGTGTTGCAAAGTTTGATTAATCTAGACCGAAAATTGTGTTTGTGGTGCCATACAATTTTGACAAGAAATATAAAGTTTTTGGAGTTCTGTTTCAGAGGCCACCGTGTACAGAACCCCTTCCGCTTATTAAAGAAGGTTTTAACCTCTTTTTAATGCCCCTCCCAATCCTTCTTGTCAAAAGACACAAACGACTGTAAAACTGCTTTTGTGACTAAAAAATGTCTCGCTAGAAAGGTTGAAAATTCCTTGCTCACCCCTATTTTGACATTCTCTGAATCCACCACACACTGCAAAAAATTATTGATGAGAAATGTATCGATCGAACTGAAACATCAAAACCTTCACCGGACATGCTTTGGGCTATTAACTCGTTAATGTGACCAGGCGCGCTGGAAATTGACAACGCTGTTCAAAATTTCAGTATGGTGTGAGGAATTTGGCACGAAATGGGAGCGGTGCGCTGCGGTTTGGTGGGGTGGAATTTGAACAAAAATTCCGTTACAGCTACGTTACGTTGAACAGAATCATGGCGAAGACACAAGAGGAATTTTAGGAAAAATCTTGTCCGTTTGTTGTTGCTGGAATTAAAGGGCCGACAGAAGCCGTGTACTTTAATTGAAATGTCAAAGTTTGTGAAAAGTAGCATTTCCAAACCACGTAAATTTCTGTTCTATAATTGATTTCTTTAACTGTTCTACACGAGAAGGAACATTTGACCCTAAGGTGGAGCACCCGAGCATCATTTTCGACACGAGGCTAGGGAATTTACCCTACTGAAAATTCAAAATTTTGAGAATTGCTTTTGTATGCATATTTCCTATATGTACGATATATTTTTCCACATTGACATTTTGAATTTTGGAACAAAATTATTTCCGATAGTGCCCTCAGCGACAATAAACCCATGGAAATTTTTAGGGGTACTACGGAAATTCTAGACAAGAGAAGGTTTTGAACAAAAGAGCCAGCTGGGCTCGTCTTAATTCAATTTAAGTGCCACGAACAAGTGAATCTTTGGAAACAAACATTGCGTTACCGCATGGTGGAAAAAAGAAAAAGAAGCTAACAAGCTTCGGAAACGCTTTTACAGAGAGACTAAGACAAAAACAACTTGACCAGTAGGGGTGGTTATTTTATTTCCAAATTTACGGTGTATGCGTAATGGTTGTAAGTGCACCGCCGTTATCTTTTTTGACCATCAAAATGGCGAATATTTGGCAAATTCGTGGAGCTCCGGTACGGCGCGCAGTGGAGAGTGCCCACAAATTTTATTCTATAAGTTTTTACATTGATGATAGTACTTTTGAGTTATCATTAGACTTGATCCCAGATCACCTCCCATATCTGAAGAAATAGCTTTCAACTATGGGTATATCACACTTCGCACATTCCGGAGTTTGGCAAGAATAAATAACTCGATCTGTCAAACTTTGACAGAATACAATTGTTATACCTGTAAAATATTGAAAAAATAATAACTTTTGCATGTAAAATATTCAGCTCGTTGTAACAAAATTAACGCAGTGCTTTGTTCCCAATAAATGTGATATTTGTACATTGGATATAATGGATGAGTTTCACTGAAACATTCAAGGCCAGTCGCTGAAGGCCCGTAATTTGCCTTATCCTTTGTTACGCGACAAGCCTTTTAAATATTGATATATGAAGGATCAACTGGAAGTTAGAAAGGGCGCGTATGATTGTATATTTCTCTCAAGGTAAGAAGGAGTTACCTTGACGCGGGCCTGGAAATATTAATGTAAACCTGACGTCGTTTATTATAAATGTTCAGACACCTCTCATTGTAGCTGGTTTGATTTTCTTCAGGGTTTTAGCCCAGATTCGACTGAGGAAATCTGACCAAAACACACTTGTAATATTTGTTTAGCCAGTTGACGTTGTAAGAAGATCACAGTATAACAGAAACATTTGGAATCTAAAACTGGACAGATTCGTTTTTTTTTCTAAGAAAGTCTATTGTCGAAACTGGCAATTATTTCTGGACACAGTTAGCTTAAATAAGTATAGATAGGCAGTTATAAACAAGGCAACCAAAAAAACCTTTATCAATTAATTCAAAGGAAACTAACCTTCGGAGGTTCGGACCACGGAAATCAGACAAAATGAGAGGATGAAAATACAGCTGCAGGAGACTAAAATTGATGGCATATTTGAAAAGAAGACAGGAAATCAACAAGAACCTCTTCCGTCCATTTGACGTCGAGAAGAAACGGTGACCAAAAACACCAACAGTCGTCAATTCTTCAAATCTTCACACAGTTACTCAGTTTTCAATTCTTTTGTTAATTTGAAACCAACATGCACAATGGAAGTCTTTTTAATTTATCGCTCAATAGTCCAAACAACTCTTCTTTGTGTCGTAAAAAAAATATCACTCTTCTTTTTGTTTTAAGAATCAGGCAACCGTTAATATAAATACAAATACAAATATAATATTCATACATGTATAAGAAGTAATTTTCGAGTTTGCCTTAATTTGTACCACCAGAGGCGAATGGAATTAAATTTTGACCAAAGTCAAATTAACATCCAAAGCACCTGTTCTCCTTATTTTTTTTAAAAAAAAAAAGAAAAAAAATCACCGGTGTGATAGATAGATGGAAAAAAAAAAAGAAAAAGAAAGAAAAAATCAAAATAAAATAAATAAATAAATAAATAAATAAATGGATCGCAAACTTCGTAAAGTACACTGTACTTCACTTTGTTTCAGAACTAACACTGAATTTTATCAAAAATTTATGAATAAGCTTTTTCAGCGCGCGAAGTAAGTTTTAATTAAAGCAAGCATGTTCCGTGATCGTTTGATATGTAATCTGCAGTTAAAATGTTAAATTCTGACCACTTCAGCAGAAAATCTTTACTAATTTTAACAAGAAGCCATCCGAGGAGAATGGCGCGATTCTCACTGTGTTGTTCTATTGTTTACTTCTAAAGCCATCGCGCGGATAATAAGTGATCTTTTTTTTACATGTTTATGTTATCTACGTTTGGAATAGTCGATTCTATTTTTTTTTTTAAGCAAACGAGTTCAAAATTAAACAAACACATAAACATTGTGCTAAATTAGGAATAAGTACTCGCGAAGTCCATTTAGAACACCACGATGGGAAGGAAGATCAAATTGAAATAATTATTTTGTTTTTTTTTACTTAGACACAACGGCAAAATTTGAAAAAAGGTCTGCCAGAATTTTTAAATTTGAAATCACAAACCAGGACCTGCGTTGCGCATGTATAGATTTATACTAAAAGTTGGACCACTAATTATTGTTTTGGTTTCCAAGGGCGTCCGTTATGTCTTTTGTGTTTTGCCGTTTCGAAGAAGTCATTCTTGTGCTGAACACCTTCAAGAGGAACTTTTCCAGGGAGCTGCTGGCTTCTAGTATCAGAGAACAAAACAAAAATAGAATGAAATGGAAGACATGAAACTATCCTTGGCTGTTTTTACAGCCACACAACCAACTTCATTGAGGACATTTTTAAAATTCTTGTCAGTAAGTTAACAGGCCAGCTGAAAAGCGATTTCATTAGTCCCTGTACTTGGTTTCAGCGAATAATTCAAGTCTCGGCCTTGATAATTATCGCTTGCTGCGTGAGTAAAAGTACACTGTAAGTAATGGGCAAAATAAGATGAACAACAAAAGTAAGTGCGAGCATGTGAGGGTTAACCTTGACTGTTGTACATTCATGATCACGAGATCAACAGGAGACAAACTAAAAATACACCAATTCGACTAGCAATGAACATTTTTTTTTTTTAATTAACTTTATTTCCACACCAACAGACCAAAAAAAAAAAAAAAAAAAAAAACAATGAAGTAGGTAATTAATAAATAGAATCCATTTCCATTTTGTGGAAATGATTGTTCGACAGTCAGAACATTTTCCTGTCAGCCACTCCGAAACTGAAATTTCTCCCAAAGTGTTTTAGAATTTATAAAAATTAAATTCATTTCTATTTCAAAAAACGAGGAGGAAGATACCCAGTTATAAATTGATTTGCTAGCGACCAGGGCACAACAGTGAGCTTGGGTAAAGAGAAGTGTATTTATTGGATGAATTTACGTACTTTCTGGTAAAAGTTGTTATTTAAGACTGCAGTTGCATCTTATCAAAACCCTTAATGCCTTGGACTCAGCAAACCAAAAAGTGTATCAGTGATTTTAATCAGTTTAAACAGGCGCGACGAGATTTTGAAGCACGAAATGACATATCCAAATATATTTGTGATTTTAACCTCATCAATAAAAACATAGATGCACACCGTTGTATAGCCATTATAGATGACACTTAAAAGAAAATTGCCGGTTTGTTGGTTTACGATAACAGCCCATGTTTTGTGTAAATTGTACAGCGTTACTGAAGAGTTGAAAGAGCTCGATACTTATTGTAATAATAGCTTGTGGTTCTAGTTCTAACGAATAAACTCTCTTCCTAATCAAATGTCTCGCACACCTCGTAAACTCAAAACTTGAAGACATCTTTATACGCTTTCCCGCCGGGAGGGGAGGGGCGGGGGGGCGCCGCCGAGCACTCCTTATAGTGGACTATACAGGGTACCTTTTTCAAGCTCAAATAGTAGTTAAGTATTGTAAAAGGTAGCAAAAATGTAATTCCAGTATTTATTTATTTTGGTGTATGAAACGGGGTACCATCTCCAACAGAAGGTATCGTACATGAACAACCTCGCTCCCAGGGTCTTTTCCCAGCCCCCAAGCCAGGGAAAACGTCCTGGGAACGAGGTTGGTATATGAAAGGGTCATCTTTCCTTGCCATTTAAAGGTGAAAAGAGATAAACTTGCGTTGATTAATCGTCTATGGAAGTGTAAAGAGAGCGAAAGATTGACGATTACCGCTAATTCGTTCACGAAATAGATCAACTCGACGGATTCCGCCCGCTGTGGCGGTCCGGATGAGAAAATTCCGCCCGCTCTAGGAACCAATCAGATTGCAGGACTTGTTGAATTCCGCCCGCTCACGAGCTGAGAAAAAGACAGAAAGGATTATTGAATTTGTTCCTAAATTGTCGGAAGGCCTCGACCCCAGGTTCTATCAGTTAAAAAAAAAAGACAGAACTCTCGGGAAAAAAATACTTTAGATCAGAAATGTTTCCGACACCACAACGTTTTTATTTCTGTTTTGGGCAGGTTCTTTTGTGTCGGAATGGTAATTAATTCAAATTATCCAGTCTAAAAAAATTGTCACGTCTGCTTACAAAAATGGATTGATGCGACAAACTTGATTGGTACACAGATATCCTGGCTTTACTTAACAATGTTGCGAGTATGTATGCGTTCGATGAAATGCACAATTTCCATGAACACATTCTCATTGGAAAATTGCAGGGATCTGATTGGCTCAGGTAAATTCCTGATCTTTTTGTAGTCGACGCTCCGAAGTCGACCGTTAATTTGTTTGTCGTTAAATACAATGCGTTCGCAAAGAGAGAAAGTTGGCAATCTCTTGTCTCTGAAGTGGAATTCTTGTCACCAAAGACTTTTTAAAGGTGAGTGAAGTTCAACTCTTCCTGTATCTCTCTGTAGTCGTCCATCGCATGCATTGACGGTGTTTCGTTTATGTTGAACGAAATTGCAAAGGTTGAGGGTTACCAATCCAAACAGATTCGCTGTTTTGCAAGGATGTCTTACAAAACATCACCGCGCTTTTTTGTTTAACTTTGATTTAATGACAAGTATTATAAGTCAAACCGCAATCTCGATGGTTTAAAGGCAATCTGTATAGTCACAGTAACAAAGTTTCATCAAAAAAACGTCATGCGGATGGTCAATCGCGTAAGTCACGTAGCTGATTGATTTTATCTTATAGCAAACTCTTCGTGAGTGGACGGGAGAATGACACGTTACCGATATTTTATGTTTCAATACTTCGATTTAAATTTGTAACTTCACAAGCCGAAAAGAGTTTTGTATGGCTTTCGATCATTTGGCGGTATTTCCATTTATCCCTATACTTATTTATGCATACCATCTTGCATTAATTTTCGAGTGCATGACTAATAAATAAGATAGCATGTTTTAGCAAGTTTTAACCCGGATTCCTTTTAAATCAGTCCAAATTCTGTTTATTTCATTGCATTTTTTGAGATGTTAAATTTGAATCTGATACCCTGTTTCGTCGCCTAAAACAGTATTTGGTAGGCTTAATTAATTTTGGTTGCTCTTTGTTTTGAAGAACATTGTCCAAGAAAACTAGGAGATAAAAATGGTCAAAAATAAGCATCTGCTTTCAAGTTAAAGACACTTGTGTCACCGTTGTTTTTAAGTAATTATGCATGTATTTAAGACTAAAAAATTCCCCTTAGAGAGGGGGCCCGTATCTACATTGTTTTTTTTTTTCTTTCAGTTTTGAGAATACTGCAGCCGTAGCCGACCATCCCCNCCCACCACCACCACCCCCGCCCTTTTCCGACCCTTTCGCAGGTTGAGAAGGCAAATGATTATGAAATCATTTGGTTCGGTTCGTAATCCGCTTAATTTGGATCTCCTGCAAATCAATTCACATGCAGACAGTACTTACATTTCAGAAATATTTTTCCCGTCTTATCATACGATCTGTAGATCATTTAGAGATAACTGTGTTATGTCGGCTGAATGTTTTCTGGCTTTAAAGTCATTGGGTCATTTAACGTCATAGTGTCAGTTCACGTTCTTCACGCTTTTTAAATAGTCTATTTTTTTCCATAGATCTCGTTTGGAACTGATATCAGAATGCCCAACATGAGAAATATATCATATGAAATTGATTCCTACTGGAATCAGCCTGATTCTAACCAGACCTTCAGTAGCGTGCCTCTCATTGGAAAGCCCGAAGCTATTTTCTGGTGCAGCCTCTTTATCATGGAAGCCGTGCTGATTGCCGCAGGAAATCTGCTTACAACGTTTGGTTTTATCGGGAGCAGGAAACTCCGCAAGAGGCGCTACTATCTAATGATCAACCTTGCGATAGCAGATGCGCTGGTGGGGGTTCTAGCCATGCCACTGTTTATCGTCCCCCTTGGAACGTCTCTCAGAGTGTGGGGAAAGATATCTTGGATTCCTGGTGACGTCAGTTTGTTTCTCGACATGTTTTCAGGCTTCGCCTCTATTGTGTTTCTTGCTATGATAGCGCTGGAACGACTCTACGCTACCTTGCGGCCCTTCAACTATCGCGCCCTGAAGTCGCGCTGGTACGTCCTCTTCACTATCATAGCTTGGATGGCCGCGGGATCGATCACGTCCCTTCATCTCGCGATGATCAAGTCTCCCAATACCTTTGTCTCCTCGACTAGTATCAGCGCTGCTATGTGGATCCCAGTCCTAGCCGCGCTGCTGCTGATTATCAGCGTCTCATACGCAATCATCTGGAGGAAAGTGAGAATTGTTCACAAGAGCGTCAAGCAACGACTGGTGGAGAAAGAGTCTTCATTGTCCCGTATTTGCCTTCTTATCACAGCAGTGTCCCTGGTCGCCTGGTTGCCCTTCGTCATTGTCAATATGGTGTTTGAATTCACTCCTAGCCATACTTTTCATTTCCACGTATTCTATATTACTAAGATTCTACATTATGGTAATTCCTTGTTGAATCCAGTCCTTTACGTGTTAAAGATTCCTGACTTCAGGGCAAGTTTGCCAAATTTGTGCACTAGAAAAATTGCTGCTACTAGTTCAAACGAGCTAAGTGTACCCCAGTCAGCTCGCCGACGACGTTGTGAAGAGGTTACTGGCAATCGTCGAAGTTTTCGCGAAGAAAGGGAGACCTCTTCGCAAGAAATAACTAATTAAACATTCTTTCTCTAAATTATTCATCAGCACAGCTGTAAAGGAAGGACTAAAGTGTTGACTTATTAAAGGAGCATAGCCACAGTGTTTTGATTTGTTTTAGCCGCGTTCAAAATTACCTTTACATTGCAGAAATAGTCGTTTACTAAGATAGTAAAACACCAAAGAGATAATTATATAATAAAACATAAAGCAACAAGTACGGTGAAGATTAACACGGATTACAAACAACGAACTTCGAACATTCAGGCTAAACTTTTCAAGATGCGCAAGCCGTGGCGTAGCTCGTTTAAAGGCTCTAGATCTTCATTTTAGTGACGGAGAATGCCCCGAGCATGAGACTACGTACCAAAAGATTGTTTGTTCTGTTCGGCAACCAAAGTAGCGCGTCAGTCTTATATTGCTTTTCCTACCGAATTTGCACTCATCGTTTTCACTCCTTACTTGTAACATTCTTTGCAAGGAATGGATTAAGTGATTGATAGACTGGCGCGTTCTCTTACAGCACTATAAATACCTGAATCTTACTATATAGTAATTTGCTGTGCGATAAGAATTTTTCTCCAACGCGGAGAGCTCCTCATCGAGCGGAGGACTGGCGAGTAAAGAGAAATAGACCGCGTAGAGACTGGGTAGAGGGGCAAATAGGCGCTTTTTTTTTTCTTTTCTCCCCGTTTGATTTTTCTCTCGTTTTACTGAAAGGATAAAACCTTAGGTGGCACGCACTATTCACTGTAATGAGACCTTCTGAAAGGTATAGTTGTGGTACTATGTTTCTCAATTTTGGGCATCCAAGATCTAAGGAATCAGGCCAAAAAAAATGACGGATGAAACAGTGCATGAGGAATATAAAAAAACATCAGAAAGAAATTAAGTTTTTGCTGCTCGAGTGGTAACAGATGTGTTGGTGTGATTGTAATTATGAGCCATATTGCATCACATTTGATTAAAATTGTACTTTGTGAGTTTCTCTGTCGCTTTTTTTCTTCCTAAGTTGTACAAGAGAAAATTGACCTTTTTGGCGATACGGCAGCCATTTTGAATTCTATTGTTCCAAATAGCTATTATGAGATGCTCAGGGGGCAACTAATATTGATTTGTCCCGTGAGCATCCCATAATAGGTATCTGAAAACAATGGAATTCAAAATGGCCGCCGTATCACCGAAAAGGTCCATTGGCCATTTCCGTGTGAACTTCGGCCTCTGTTTCAAAACGAGTCCTCATGCCAAACCTGTCATTTAAAAATGTGTTTGATTTGCATGAAAATGAACCTGCAGGTGGAAACATTTTCATATGAATGGTTTCGCACGTCAAGACTCGTTTTGACACAGTGGCAAAGGGCAACTCGCAAACGGTCTATTAAATAGCATTTATTGTAGTCGGGAGCCACGAAATTCGTATAAGACTTAGAAAACATGCCGCCATTTGTAATAAAATGGGACAGTTTAAAATGCACACCTTCTGGACCAAATCGAATGCCATTTTATTGCTGCATGTCTACACAATACATTAGCTCAATACATTGCTTTTAATGCCAGGTGATTGTGTGATGTAATTTGATGGTGAAACCAAAAAGAGAAAACACTTCAATGCTCCTATCAGCGTCCAGACGATACCTCTGATTGGTTGGAGTGACAATGATTGAGAGTATCATATGCACACCGCACTGGAATATTATCTCCATTAGCACCTTTGTGAAAATTGTCAGTTTTCCTTCTCGTGAATATAAAGGGTAAAAAATATCTTCTTTCGTTTCGGAAAACAAAAATACTAAACACATGCGCTGGCTTATCAGCCTGGCCGTAAAATATGATCGTTACCTTGCAAGGTAAGTTTTCCGGTTATTAAACTGATCCTAAACGTATAAATCTTCAACCTAAAAAAATCATTACACAGCTGAGAAATCTCAAGGTCTTCTCTTATTTTGCCATTTAGTAAAGAATATGTTTTAGGAAAAATAGGCTGTCCATGATCAACGATTAATAATTGATTCTATGGTATGATTCGCTGTTTTCTGAGATGAGAACATTGTAGTTATTTCTAAAATTTGTCTAGTGTCTACCGCCTCCATAATTACATGAGTTAGGGAGACCTTTATTATTTTAATAACCATTTAGACCGCATCTTAGAATTGTTTGTTTTTTTTTCAATTCGCCATCAGATTTTCTTTTTCTCAGCAAGCTCTTTATTTTTCGCTTTAATCTTAGGTTGTTTTGTTCCATGGATCTCTATTTGCTTTATTTATCTAAGCTTATCTGCGGTGCGGAGGTTAAGCAACTGCAAACGGTCCTATGTAATCAATTTTGCGGCACAGAAGCGGAAAGAGGGGTCATTTTCTTGACCTAATATACGACTCGATTTTTCATCGTTTTATAAATAGTGATTGCTCATCAATCACTGATCATTATTCGAATATAATGCGGTATCTCCAAGACGGACGTGCATTTCCGAATTTCGCTTTCGAAAAACAAGAACAACATGATAAGAAAGTTATCTAGCAAAATTAGTCCAGTTTTTATTATTTTTAAGACACTTCGTCGTGATAGCCCACTGTGATTAATTTTGCCTCGTGTTGTTGTGTGAATTCTCTTTATCTAGGTCGCTACTCGTAGATAATACTGACAACAGGACCGACAAAAGGTGGGAAAATCTTTTGTGGTTTATCTTCCAAGTTTAGTTACTCAGTGGTCAAAATGCGTTCAAACACCGTTGCAAAATTTTCACTGGTACTACACGTTCATATAAACACCGGATATTGAAGACTTCCCAAACAATACTGAAAATAAGACTGTGCACTGTGGTAAAAATTAATATCGCAGTCTTCGAATATTTATAAACATGGCTTATTTCTCTGTTGTTTTTTATGAATAAATCGTCAATGTGCAAAAAATCTGACGTGTTCGGATACCTTGCTGAAATCGACAAAATTTAATTGTGTGTTTATGAAAATCAGCTGGACTTTTGTCTTGCTTGTTAAATTCGAAATGTGGGAACCAGGAGTGCGTGAGGTATGTTCAATTTACGTTTTATATCATTGTTAGAGTGATATGAAGAAAACGTTGAACAAAACATATCAAGATGACAAGATATACTCTCGGTGCCTGTGGCAAGGTGTTATGTCTAAATTACGCCGCCGAGAATGAGGAAAATTACGTCCTGTAGTTTATAGTTTACAATTAGATTCACACTCAAAGAGTGATAAACAAGGTCATAGAGGCTGAAGAAAGTTTAGAAATTCAGCAAATACAATGAAAAATACTTACAATACAATGCTACAGTACAACATTTATCTACTACGCTGATAATTTCACATTACTTATATTTCTACCAAAAAAATAAGAATGCTATTTATTACAATATATATTTTTTTCTCTTCCCCCTTCCTTTTCTTTCTTTAAGAGTTACCACACGCTATTGCATAATGCTGGAGCACACTTTCGTGTAATTCTTAACGACTTGTTAAGAAGAGTGTTTGTACCTTTGAGGAACCGAAAGTGGAAATAAAAGCGAAAAAAGGTGAGTGCCTTGATTAATCCCTGTCAATCAATCAATCAAGCAATCAATCAATCAATACTTTATTTAACCACGTGACACCTAGGAGTGCAAGCGCTCGTTAAAACGTGTGCGTGAACTCAAAATTGTATAAAAAAAAGAGGATTATATAATCTATGTAAATATGTAATATACAATAAATGCCTAAAAATAGTTATATACAAATAAATTAAGAAATGAGTTATTTAAACCTAAAATAATTACCTAGTAATCGTTTAAAATTTAAAAGATCGTTAGCGACCCTTACAAATGGAGGTATTGAGTTCCAAATCCTGGCGGCTATAAAGGAAAAGGACTTATGCCGCCATTCCAAATTGTATCTAGGCAACTCCAAAATTGTACCGGACCCCTTTAGGTTATATGAGCTTACTTTAAAATTAAAGAGATCTTGAATATAGCTTGTAGCTAAATTATGTAAGCATTTATACACAAGGATTAAGGCCTGAAATTTCCTGCCTTGTGAGGTTAAAAAGACAAAGGAGACAAAATCAGCGCGACTAATTCCTTTATCTCTCATAGTTGCGTAGCCTACATCATATTACAATATTTTGTGATGCGGCCATGATACAATATACCCAAATTAGTATCAAGCAATTAGGATAACGATAACACCCAAAGCGACGGAGAATCGAGGCTTTACCCGTACACTCCGTGGAGTACACCGTAGCCCTTTTATAAGAAACTCGAAGCTAAGGCTGTCATGGCAGCTTCGTGTGTAAAAACAAACAAACCGAAAGCATAACGTTATAATATCGCGATGCCTTTCCTATGTCTTGTCAGTTTGCGGGTTGTGTTCTGATGTGGCAACAATGGAAGCCTCCTAGATGACCGATGAAAAATGGGTGCGTATCCCAGTTATGTACAAAAGGTTGGTTATCTCCTGTACGTGGCCCCCTTCTACTATTGCCATGATCGCAAGCAGAACTTTTCAGGTATTCAGCAGCGACTTTAGGCGACTTAAGGTCCCAGAGTAGGCCTTTAAGACGTATTTGTTCTTTTCCCCTCCACCTAGAGCTCCCTGGTCACCGACCCGCAGAATGTCAACATATTTTATGTTTTATCTTAGTTTTTACCGATGGCGAAAGTTTTAACCCCACCTCGTCACATTTGTAGCCATTTATTCCAAACAATTTGTTTTCATCATGGTCTACCTATCCCTTCAGCAAACTAGTGCGACGCCTTGCAGAGCTCTTGATGTCTTAATGTTTGCAAACGACTCAAGATAAAATAGTTGTTTGCTTTTTTTTTTTTTAAGGTCCTTGATAATTATTTTATATTTTCGAACACACTTGTTGATGTGCTTTTTACACATAAGTTTCCTTAAGCTTCGCGATAATTATTTTGTCTTTGTACACACTTGATTCCGAACATAACTGTTAATGCACTTTTAACATAATACCTACGCACAAAGCTATTGCCTTGGGGTAGAGACTTAGAGACAGATAAATACAACTTGTTCGATGGTTTAACATATAAACATGTACACAATTGAGCTGATAGCGTGAGATGCATGCTAATGACGAATAGTGACGTCTCTACATTGTAAAACGGGCTCATTTTTGCACGTTCTGTTGACGCAATAATATGGTAACATGGAGTGTTGCTTTTCATGGCGTATCGACTTCGTGAATACTGATAAGAAAACTACTCAATTAATTAAAGGGTATGAAAAATGACACTTTCCTAGTTATATAATCAATATTCCGTCATTTCAAGAGTAGCGTGCGAGATCACTGAATTAAAATATATCCTATGGCTTTGATGTGCTTCTCTCCATTATCTGGTTGAGCGTTTCCGATTACTTCATTTCCACACGTGTTGGAGTCGTCATGAATCCCTCCTGTTCCAAACCCTAGTCTTGAATCACAGGTAGCGCATTCATCTTCTCCATTGTTTGCAAGGAAACCGATTCTAGCTTTAGCCATGTCCGGATCGTCACTTACTGCATTAAACCCTTCTCTGTTACAATTGTACTGCAAGGAGCTTTGTGTACCAAGTAGAGTTTTCCACGTGTCACGACCCATTGATATGGCCCGGAATTGCCCGTTAGCAATCAGAGAATATAGTGAATCAGCGGCCTGGCTAATGGTGATAAAATTCGTTGTCTCCTCGCCTGGAATCTTCATACCAAGACAGATTTTGAAAAAGGGAGTTTTCCAATATGTCGGTAGCTTGGTCTCTTGTGTATCAAACCCAGTCTCCCCTCCCACAATGTTGAATGCTTCTTTGTTGCTCCAGAGATTGGA